TCTTTCTCCCTCAACAAAAAAAACAAAAAAAAATAAAAAAAAAAATAAAAAAATAAAAAAAATAAAAAGACAAAGACAAAGACAAAGACAAGCGTACTGGTATCTCCTCCTATTGTCTCCAAGCCTGCTGCTTTTCTTGCTGCTATATCTCTCAGCTGCTGCGCGTTTTCTCTTCGCCCAATCAGCCGCAGCGCCAGAGCAACAGATAAAAACAAACAGTCCCCGCCACCGCCAGCATCCTGCAGCAGCAGCAGCAGCAGCAGCAGTAGCAGCAAGAGCAGCAGCAGCAGCAAGAACAGCAGCAGCAAGAACAGCAGCAGCAAAAGAGATATATGTATAATACAAATTGCGGTGTCTTTGGTTTAGTTCTTTATTATATTGTACTGCTGGATTTGCTGCTGATGCTGCACTTGGTGCTGCTGCTGTTGCTGCTGCTGCTGCTGTTGCTGCTGCTGCTGCTGCTGTTGCATGCGTGTTTAGGTGTTAACTAGGCTATATATTAGCTGTATATACACCGCAATAAGCCTCCTTGCTATTACTATTTTATTTATTTATTTAATATTATTTATTATATATTATTATTTATTAATTTATTTATTATTTGTGTTGCTGCTGCTGCTGCTGCTGCTGCTGCTTACGATTCGCCTCATCTGTAGGTTCTGCTGCTGCAGCCTTCGCGCCCAGAGGGGCCCCAGCGGCAGCAGCTGTTTATTTTGTGTTGCTGCTGCAGTTGCTGCTGCAGCAGCAGCAAAAGCAGCAGCAACAGGTCTCCTGTATATACACCCGAACAAACTTGTTGATAGACGGCGCGGCAGCAAGCCAGCAGCAAACGAAACCCGTTGCTTCAGCTGCTGCTGCTGCTGCTGCTGCTGCTGCGGCTCTACCAAATGCTGCTGCACTTGCTGCTGCTGCTGCTGCTGTTGCTGCTGCTGCTGCTGCTGTTGCTGCTGCACTTGCTGCTGCAGATGGCTAGTAGCCCATCTCCGCACCCAGGCGGTATCAGCAGCAGCAGCACGGCTGCTGCTACTGGGTCTGAAGCAGCTATCTGCTGCTGCTGCTGCTGCTGCTGCTGCTGGTGCTGCAGCAACACCCAAGGCCTTCAGCAGCCCCTCTCTCCGCCGAGATAAAACATTTGCTGCTGCTGCTGCTGCTGCTATGGAATCCTCTTGGTTTAGATTAAGGCTGCCGGTTGCAACAGCAGCAAGAGCAGCAGCAGCTGCTGCACTTGCTGCTGCTGCTGCGTTTGTTGCTGTCCGAGGCATGCTGCGGCTGCTGCTGCCGCTTCTGCTGCTGCTGCTGCTGCTTTTGCTGCTGCTGCTGCTGCTGCTGCTGTTTCGGGCGCCGATTGATAGGCCGCCTGTGCCTAGGGGGCCCTCAGATAAAACAGAATGTACAGGAGCAGGAGCAGCAGCAGCAGCAGCAACTGCAGCAGCAGCAGCAGCAACGCGCAGAGCGCCTGGGGCCACCAGGCAAGCCATCAGCCAGCAGCCTGCCGCCACGAACCAGCGGCGGGAGGACT